CCGAAGACCCAGGGCGGCTCACAATACACTCAAAAAATCACTATAAAAACACTTAAAAATCAAAAGCATTAAAGACATTAAAACCCATTCACATCATTCATGGCCGGATCTGAATGGTTATAAGTCAAGGGCTGTCTGTCATCAACATTTTTACTCTTTGCATGAATGCTTCCCTTCAACCCCTCAACTTCCAAATAGGATTTTGGACCATATACTGTATGGATTTATTTGATGCATTCTGTATTATTAACAAAATCAAGGAAAACAACTTGCTCATATTTATGATAGGGATTTCTCTAAATAAAAATCACAGCAAATGCAATTTGATAGGTGTAAATACAATGCACTGAATCCAAACTCCACGCCAAATTCTCTAACTTCATACAGTTAACTCTTAATTCCTGGGATTATTCCCAATACCTGGGATTGGCAAAAAGGTCCCAGATATGACTTGGTTGATTAGAATCTTTACTGCAGATAAAACCGCAGTCCCAAACACTACTGTTGGTATTACCACCACAGTCTAGAAAAATCAGAGATTTTATACATTTGCAGTGTGTTCCAGAGCTTCAGTTGAAAGTTTCTTTTTCCTGATACTCGATTTAAAATTAATGGATATTTGCTGGAATGATTGGTAACTCTGAGATGGCTATTCTCTCATCCCCTGGAGCTTTAAACCCTCCAGAAACTACTCTCTTGTGGTCTCCACAAAAGAGTAACTCCTTGTCCAGAGTTGGCTTTTAACAGAGCCAACTTCATCGTTTCTTCCCTGAAAGTTCAGGGGGCATAAAAATTTAATAATAATAATAATAATAATAATAATAATAATAATAATAATAATAATATTTACCAAGAGCAGAGGGTGGTCGAGGACTCCTACAAGTAAAGCAGACTGTGGAAGAAGAAAAATGCAGCTTGAATGATTACATCCAGAAAAGTGAAGAACCAATGATTAAGGAAGTAAATAAAGGAGGCCTTTTAAAGACAACTAAAACAAAAGCAGAATATAAGAAAGAAGTAATTGAACAGTGAGCTGAAAATTGGAAACACAAAGCTCTGCATGGCCAATACTTGAAAAGTATTGAAGGCAAAGCTGACCAGAAACTAACTTGGAACTGGTTAAGATCAGGAGTACTGAAAAAAGAAACAGAAAGCTTTATTTGGCAGCTCAAGAACAAGCCCTAGCCACAAACTGCATGAAGGCAAAAATTCAACATGTTACCACCAACAGCAAATGCCACCTCTGCAATGAGAAAGATGAGACAGTCGACCACCTGATCAGTGGGTGCAGCAAAATTTCACAAACTGACTACCTACAACGCCATGACCGTGTTGCTAAGATCATTCACTGGAAATTGTGCCAGAAGTTTGGATTTGAGTACAGCAAAACCCACTGGGAACATCAGGTTGAGAAAGTTTTAGAGAATGAGAAACTCAAGATCTTGTGGGACTTTAGGATTCAGACTGACAGGCACTTGGTCCACAACACACCTCACATAACAATAGTTGAAAAGAAAAAAGTATGGTTCATTGACATTGCAATACCTGGTGATGCACGGATTGAAGATAAGCAGCAAGAAAAAATCACAAAGGACTTGCAAATTGAAGTTGAGCGACTGTGGAAAAAGAAATTGTGTGTTGTCCCGATTGTAATTGGAGCCCTTGGAGCAATACCCAAAGGGCTACCCCGTTATTTAGAAATTCTAAATTCTAAACATTTTGACTCTACAAAAAACCACCTTACTCGGAACAGCTTATATCCTCCGACGATACCTTAACAGTTCCTAGTTCCTTGGTTAGGACTCGAGCTGCTGAGCTATTAACCAGCCTCAAAGGCTGTGAATCTCACTAAAGATTAAATAATAATAATAATAATAATAATAATAATAATAATAATAATAATAATAATAGCTATGTACAATGGCTTAACTGCTGCTCTTAGATTGGTATTATGGTCTAAATCAAGATAATAAAAATAATAACTTTGCAACGACAAAGTCGAAACTGTTTCACATTTAATATGTGAATGCAGCAAAATTGCACTATCTGATTACAAAGCTAGACATGACCGAGTTGCTAAATTAATCCACTGGTCATTATGTTAAAAATATGACTTACTTATATCCAAAAAGTCATGGGAACATAAAGTGGAAAAAGTTATTGAAAATGAGAAGGTGAAGATCCTGTGTGACTTTTGAATACAGACGTATCGTCATTTGGAACATGCCAGATATCACAGTTGTCGAAAGCCAAAACGTACAATTATTGACATTGGGGTATCAGGAGTTGCCAAAGTTGGAGAAAAAGAACTGAAAAAAAAATCATGAAATATCGCAACCTGGCCATCAAAACTACACAGCTATGGATGAAACATGTAACAGTGATACCCATTGTCATCGGGACACCTGGTACCATGTCCAAGAATTTTATAAGATACATCAAGAAATTGCAGCTTCCTGCAATAACACCAGCAGAACTGCAAAAAACTGGGCTACTTGGAACATTGTACATCTTAAGAAGGTACTTGATTGATACCTAGGATGCTGGCAGCAACCCGTATCAACCATTAGCACCAGTCAATGGTATTTGTGATGCATTTTTGAATGTTCAGTTGACTGAGTTTCATGTTTAATGAATAAAGTAAATAACAACAACAACAATAACAACAACAACAGCACTGGAAGGAGAAACTGCAGATAGGGATAAACATTGAAATCTGTAGGTGCATTCTTTTTTTAAAAAAAATGTGTAAACCACAGCTGGGTTTAGATAGAAATTTCAAACACAGGCCTGCCCTGGGATTCTGTGACTCTCTGAAATCGGATTGCATTTGACATTTTTGCTTTAATAATTTTCAGAATGCAGGGGATATACTGAAATCTCACCAAATGAGCCCAGGCAGATTAAGATTCTAAACTACTGAGAAAACTCTTCCAGCGGTGTCTAATATATTGTTATCTGCATGACTTTTTTTTAAAAAAAATGAAAGCTAGTGAAATTGCTGTCAAAAGAGCAGGCCATGCACATGGTAATAAACATTTTGCTCAAGGTTTATTTGTTTGTTTGTTTTTTTTGAAAAGGGGAGCTTAATTTTTGGTAAGCTCTCCTATTTTCTTCATTACAGACAAAAGCATTTCCTAGGTAACTATGTGCTAGTTGACTGATTATACTTATCCTTTTAAGCACTGAAAAGGTTTATGTGCTTTACCTAGCCTTCCCTTGATATTTCTACTAAAGCTCCATTATGTAAATATAAATAAATAAAACTGATGAGTGTTCTTATAGGGGATCATTTGCCATGGACTCAGTATTTTCAAAGATTTGTCTCAGTGTAGGAGTTAATATTAAGCAGGTCCTCATACAAAATACAGATTTGGATCTTTTTTTATGATTCTACAATGGCTTGGTTGCTGCTCTTAGACTAGTATTATGGTCTAAATCAAGAGAAATTCTTCTAAAGTGGAAGCAGAGACCCAGAAATTTTTTCTAATGGTTAAATGCATTCCCTGATTTTTCTTCAGGTGCTCAAGACGTTGTACAGCCTCTTCTTAATCCCCTTCCCCCAATAATAACCCTGGATGGTAGTTTGGATTAGCCTGAAGACTCCCAGCTACATTCTGTGGATGAGGCTGAACTTCAACTCAAGTCTTTCTTGAGCCATGCCAGCCTCTTAAGCATTACACTATGCTGGCTGTCTTACAAATGCCCATTAATCTCAGTGCTTCTGTAGGGCAGATAAATGACTGGGTATTTCTGGTGAGAAGGTAGTAGCACCAATGTCATTAGGGTGTAGTTGGCCAATGTTGGAAGCCAAATTCAGGTAGTTACATTACTAGGGTGTTAGGAAATAAGACCAGATTTAGAATACTGCATCCAGTTTTGGTCACCACACTATAAAAAGATGTTGAGACTCTAGAAAGAGTGCAGAGAAGAGCAACCAAGATGATTAGGGGACTGGAGGCTAAAGCATACGATGAACGGTTGCAGGAACTGGGCATGGCTAGTCTAGTGAAGAGAAGGACCAGGGGAGAAATGATAGCAATGTTCCAATATTTGAGGGACTGCCACAGAGAGGAGGGGGTCAAGCTATGTTTCAAAGCACCTGAAGGCCAGACAAGGAATAATGGATGGAAACTGAAAAAGAAGAGATTCAACCTACAAATAAGGAGAAATTTAATCTATAAAGTCTAAGTGACCAAACATAGCATTCTCAGAAGTATTTTATATCTCTGTGCAGAATCATCTAGACCAGCGGCACTAAGGCATAGATGAGATATTGAAACCCAAAGGAATATTTAGATTGATAGACACTGATTAGGGAATCTTCTGGGATAAGCTGAACCTACAGTACAGAAAGAAACAACAGTAACAGAGCCAAGATGCCTGTGCGGTATCAAAAAAGGAGCAGGACAGTTTTTGAAATTGATCCTTGGGGCAGTGCCAGCAGGTGCTGAGTTTGATGGACGGTAGACATTTCCGAAAATGCTATAAGAGATAAGGATAATGTTGGAAGCAGGTTATTGGAGAAATGTGACAGAATGAAAGGCTATGGAAAAAGTTCATGCCAAAGGGACATGATGGATAAACTTGATATTTCCATGACAATATCTATGGAGATTCTCGGTCATCCAGGTCATACTTGTCTCAAAGGTACTGACAATGCTAACCACCAAGCGAAAGTGGAAGGATTTGCAGTGACTGATTACAGCAATGTAGATAGAATCAAGAGAACAAAACTGTGAAGGATGGAAAGCCTCAGTGGCACCCATCATTTCTGGATATAGGCTCTATAGAATAAACAGAAGAAAGCACATTGTGGGAAGTATTGCTCTGGATGTCAAAGGTATGATATCTAATCAGTGCTATTTAGATAGATAGATAGATAGATAGATAGATAGATAGATAGATAGATAGATAGATAATTTTATTTCTATACCGCCACTCTCCCGAAGGACTGGGGGCGGAGCACAGCCAAGTAAAAAACACAATACAAATCCCAATTAAATTTAAAAATTATTAAAATTATTACATTTACAGCCAAGATTCGTTAAAACCCAAAAATTTAAAACTCCGAATTTAAAATTCCTTTACAAAGATAACCCTGCCTGTCGGAAGAGCAGGGTCTTGAGGGCACAGCGAAAAACTCGGAGGTCAGAGATTGTGCGTATTTCCGGGGGCAGTTCGTTCCAAAGAGCAGGAGCTTCCACAGAGAAGGCTTTCCCCCTGGGTGTCGCCAGCCGACATAGTTTGCAGGACAAACAAGCAGGGACCAGATTGGTGAAAATGAGCATTGGGATTCATGATGGAAGCCTCAATCCTTTTTTATGTGTTTCATAATATTGCAAACATGACTCTAAAGGGGTGGGGTTTGCAAGGTGATGCCAGGATTCTGTTTGTTTGCAGAATTCATTCTGCAACAGGATCTTATAGACAGCCCTGGATGCTGGAATATACCGGAAGACTGGATTCCTGCACAAAATCACAAGGGACAGAACATTAAGGCTAGGATGATGCCACTTACTGCTCTTTTGATCAAAATGTTCTTGAAATGGTGTAAGAAATCAGGCAGACATTCAAAGGAGGACTTCAATTATCCAGACTTGATGTGTTAAGACCCATACGATCAGGGACTGGAAATCTAGGCCACATATAGCAATCTAGGAACTAGCGGAAGCTGGATGAACGTTAACACCTTAATTTTGCTTCATGAAAAATCATCTGAGTTGTGCTGCTTTTGGTTAACTTTGTTTTATTTTGTTCCCTCTGTCTCGGTCTCATTTTCTTGTTCTGTGTTGATAGGCTTAGCTGGAGAAGTAGCCACTGAAATACAGGTAGTCCTTGCTTAATGACATTCAAAATAACAATGGACCTACAAAATGGAACTTATGACCTGATTCTGAAGTTTCAATGGCTGCATACATGCATGGGGACACACACACACACACACACACACACACCAGTAGTGGGTTGCCCCCGGTTCAGACTGGTTAGCAAGAACTGGTAGTAAAACCGGTGGGATCATCATAGGTGATCTGCACATGCAGAGGGCATGCGTGTGTGCGATGCAAACCAGTAGTAAAGGTAAGTAGAACCTATCCCTAACACACACACACACACACACACACACACACACACACACACACGATAGATTTTGAATGTTTGACAACTGGCTCCCATTTAAGGCTGTTTGCAGCATCCCATGATGAGGTGACTGCCCTGCAATTTTTGGTGATTTTTACCAATTTTTGGCATTTACTTCCAGTTTGTGGCAAACAATGCTATTTTAGGGACCATGGTCTTCATTTAATGACTGTAGCATTTGATTAACAAATACTGCAAAAAAAAAAAAAAAGGTGCAAAATCAGGTGCTTTGGAGAATAGACTAGACTAGACTGAGCTGGAAGGGACTTTGAAGGTCTTCTAGTCCAGCCTTCCGCTCAAGCAGGAGTACCTATACTATTTCAGATAAGTGACTGTCTAGAGCCGTGATGGCGAACCTATGGCACAAGTGCCACAGATGGCACGCAAAGCCATATGGGTGGGCACGCAAGCGTTGCCCTAGGTCAGCTCTGGCGGGCATGCGTGTGCCAGCCAGCTGATTTTCAGGCCTTCCGGAAGTTGGCAAATGGGCCATTTCTGGCCACCAGAGGGCATCTGGGGGATGGGGAAGTCCGTTTTTGCCCTCCCCAGGCTCCTAGGAAGGCTCTGGAGCCTGGGGAGAGTGAAAAACGGGCCTTCCGGTCCCACCGTACCATTGCATGCCAAAAGCTGGGGGAGTGCAGGGGGGTCATGCGCGCATGTGCGGTGAGGGGGGTGAGGCGCATTGAATTATGGGTGCAGGCACACATGTGCATGACACACACACACACGTGCTCCCCCCGTTTTTGGCACACAATGACAAAAAGGTTAGCCATCACTGGTCTAGAGACTCTGGACTCTTCTTAAAAACCTACAGTGATGGAGAGCCAATAGATCGACTTGCTCTTCTTTGTGGCAGACCCTTAGATATTGGAATACTGCTATTCTGTCACTCCTAATCCTTCTTTTCATTAAACTAGACATACCCAATTCCAGCAACTATTCTTTATATGTTTTAACTTCCAGTCCCCTAATCATCTTTGTTGTTCTTTTCTGTGCTCTTCTTGATGGACAAGTCTGATTTAAAAATAAAATCAGTGTGGTAGGATTAAGGATCCAAATATGATGGAGAGAAATAAGATTCCCAGGGTTCTGTATATGATTTTAATGCCACCTGGACAAGTTCCTGGAACAGTGACAATATTTGAACAGTATTTCTGTTGAGCACCAAGAAAACCTGGGGGAATGAGGATCAAGATGATTAAAATTACACTCTTTCCCTTCCCAATCCTTCTGGGAAATTAATAACTTTGGAAGTAAGCATTGCATTGCATATTTTTGAACAATCAATCAAATACATGTCCTTTCCATATCCATCTTTTGACGCCTCATTAAAATGCAACGTCAAAAGTCTCTTGTTAATTTTAAATTGTGAGTGCTGGTTGACTTCCTGCCACTATTGTAGATTCATGCTACCTCAGATAAGGAGACAAGTGGAATCATGGTACAAGAGAAAGAATTGATTCCTATACTACAGAGGCAGGGAGTGATGGCCGTTTTATGATTCGTGGACTTCAACTCCCAGAATTGAATTGAAAATTGGGAGTTGAAGTCCACAAGTCATAAAGGGCCCATTGTTCCCCACCTCTACTATACTATATCCTTTAATTTTAAGATTTAACTAGAATTAAAAAGATTTTTATGCAGATGATACCACTTTAATGGTAGAAAGTGAAAAGGAACTAAAGAGCCTCTTGATGCGGGTGAAGGAGGAGAGTGCAAAAATTGGCTTGAAACTCAATATTAAGAAAACTGAACTGGTAGCATTTCACCCTTGTTTACCTCCTGTACTAAGAAACCTCACTATGTTTTACTAGAGCTGCCCTGCTTCTTTTTCTTTCGACTTGTACTGTGATTTCTAAACTATCCCCTAACCTAAATGCTCTTTATTTCTTGTCACTTGAGGTTTTTGTGTAATTTTTTCCATTTCATTTTTCGCATTTTCCTTCACGAAATACAATGGGGGGGGGGACTCCTGTTGCTTTGTTTGTAAATGTGGGATGAGTGAATTGGCCTAATTTTGCAGCAATCCTGCTGGCTTCATAATTACTGTTTTTAAGCATGATTATATTTTACCCCTTCTTTCACTTAAAATATTAGCAGTATTACAGGTTGTTATGTATTGTCTGATGGGTCTGTTCAAAGTTCATTCTCTCCTTTAGAGAGTAAGCTTCATACTTCAGCTAGTTTATGGACCAGCTTGGCCTGACTGAAATGTCATCTTTGGACATTTCCAAAGGTAAGGTAGCAAATTATGATGATAATGAAAAGCTGCAGCCTGTTGCTACGTTACCAACCACTCAGGACTGAGACGGGGATTCTGATTTGAGAGTTTTCTATCCCTGATCGAGCATCTCCCACTACAGAAGCTAATTAAACAAATAAAATCCTTCTGTATGCTGATGACCTTTGATTGTTATAGAATAATCATATCGAACAGTTCCTAAACTGATGGCTTTAAAAGAAACTTTTTGAAAGTTTTCAGGTTATGGTGAACATCTATAGCTACACCTTAGGAACTCTTCTCATTTACTTTATGGTCTGGGCACGATTTTCTATGTAATCCCTGGCATATATTAAACATCTTATTTGGGAGTTTTAATTTACTGAAGAGTTTCTCAGTTGATTCAGGCATTTTATCCATTTATTTGATTTGTATTTTAATACTGTGTTTAAGATATCAGATGATGTAAGCCAAGTGGAAATAATTTTGGTCAGTGCAGTTGGGAAGCTAGGCATGAGTGACTGTCTATAAGAGCTTCCTGATCCAGGGAGGTGCACACCTGGAAACAATATCATAGAATATAAAATAATAAGAGTTGGAAGGGAAGAGTTGAAAATTATCTAATCCAATCAGATCAGATGCCAAGCAGGAGTTGTGAGTTCAAGAAGACCCCTAAATAGATCACTCTTGAATGGGGAAGAACAACCCTATCCAAGATAAAAGATGGAAAATTCCTGGATCTGGGGAGTCCTAATATTCACAACCACTCAGTCTTTGTAGGATTAAGTCAAAATTGGTTTTTCACCATCCAGATCACTCAGCCTCCAGGAATTGAGACAGGACATTGAAAGCATACTGTATTTTTCAGATGCATCTTTTCCCCCCAAAAAAGAGGGTGAAAATCTGGGTGCGTCTTATACTCTGAATGTAGCCCCACCCACCTTCTCAAACGGAGGTTTTAGAGGCTGAAAAAAGCATCAGAAATGAAGCTTCAGAAAAGAAACCCCCAAACAGAGCTTCAGAAAAGAAGCCTCCAAACAGAGTTTCAGAGGCTTTTTTTCTGAAACTCTGTTTCAGAAGTTTCAGAGGCAGAAAAAAAAGCAAAAAAAAGCAAGGCACAGAGCTCACAACCAAGGAACCTGTTGCTAAAATTCACCTCTGGGAACAGCTGATTGTGGGTATTCCGGGAGGCCGATCCACCTGCGTCTTATACTCTAAAAAAATACAGTAACTTTTAAAAATGATTTTCTGGACTTCTCATCCTTCATCCATGCATCCATGTTTAATTATTAGATTTATATTCAGCATTTTGTTCAAAAGTTCACTTTTGGACATTTATGTAGCACTCCTATTTTTTTTTTTTTACCCACAACTATTTTTTTAAATAACTATTATTTAAGGTAAGATGGACTAGGAGATAATGGCTAAGATTGGACTAGAACCGGAGTCTTTCTGCTCCTTGTCTAATATTGTAATCACACTACCATATTTTTATGGGGGGAAATGAATATCAAAACTGGGATTGAAAGAAATTTGTTTAAACTTGGTCCAGTGGTGGCTTGCCCCAGTTCGGACCGGTTCTATTGAACCGGTAGTAAAACCGGAGGGAGGCTCCGCCCACCGACCCTGACATCATCAGAACGCTTCTGCGCATGCGCGGCCCTGTTGCAAACTGGTAGTAAAGGTGAGTAGAACCCATCCCTGTAACAATGTCTTGGTCCTGTAACAATGGTACTGTCAGGTATTGAAAGCAAGCATTTTAACAGATCTGACAATCTTAGAAATGAATTGGCTTTTTCAAAAACAGCATTCTGGCAATCAAAAGACTGTATCATGGAAATGTTTAGGCAGATGCTCTGGCAAGCAGTTTTTAAAACCACTAAAATAATTCTCTTGAGTCCTCCAGCTTTCATATGTGTGTATAGAACATGAGGCAAAAACATCAACTTCAGATGAGCTTTGTGTCAAGTGGGCATCTAAGCAAGAGATTCAGTTACAGGAACACATGGGGAAAATATTTTTGAAATTGCAAATGGACATCTTTGGACATGAATGGAATTTATCAATATAATATTAATACATTTTTCACCTATTCCAAAATCTGTGG